TGTGTGTGTGTGTGTGTGTGTGTGTGTGTGTGTGTGTGCATGTAAGGGAACCAACTAGAGAAGTTTCTTGAGCCAAGATAATTGACAATCCAGGGTTTGGATTTGCAGAAATGAGGCCAAAATTAGCCCGGCTCACTTTCTGAACACACGTCGTTTGATGGGTATTCTGTAGCTTGTATCAACACGAGTTACATTATTACAGGGTGAAAAGACCAACGCTGCCTCTTTAAAAAGGTCAACTCTCCACAAAACATTTAGAAACAGAAAGTGATGAGGAATTTCCTACTTTAGGAAGACAGATCTTTTTAGTTTTAGTTGAAACTCATGTGGATTAATGATTAAAGCAGAAAACATAAACACAAATCCAAATGAAACCAATCAACAAAGTTATTAGGAAAGAAATTGTAGGTTTTGTTAAAAATACCATGTTTTTACTGACATTATGGAAGTCAATGCAGCTGCCAGTAGCCTGGTTAAAACCAGACCCTGTCCTTCACTTTGCTTCGTACAAGGGTCTGGACTCGCTGCATAGAGAAGTGATTCTTGCAGGAGGCGTGGCCTCTGCTGAAGTGTGTGTGTTGTTGCTGTGACGGAGGCTAAGCTAAGAAGCTAACCGGAAATCGTGTGCGCTGTAAACAACCCTACTGAGAGGAGAAATACACCGATCCGAACGAGACGGCTGTAAACGAGAGCTGCTGCTTTGTCAGACAAATTTAATTTAATTTGGAAGCCTTATCAACACAGACTGGCTTCATTCACTTCCTCCACTGCCGTTTGCTAAACTAACTAGCAGACACTGCGCAGAAAATCAATGTCATTCAAAACTCCTCCTTCTGTTTGCTGATTGGCCCAGGTAAAATAAACTACAAGCAGACACTGTGCAGAAAATTAACGTTCTGTTCTTTGATTGGCCCGGCAAAAAATCTGCCAGCGAAATCCTTCTCTATGGGAGAAGTCCCAAACGGAGCAGTGAAGGGAAACTAGAATTGAGCAGAGCAGCGTAGGAAGGCAAGGGCCAGGCTAAGTTGCCAGAAAAAAAAAAAGAAGAAATATGGATGCATTTAAAGACATGGAGCAACTGGAGTGAAGATGATTGAGGATGAAGACAGAGTGATAGAGTATAGCTAATTGTGGCAACCTGGAAGAGGTAACAATCAAAATAAGATAAATAATAATAACAATTTTAGGAAAAAATGTGATGAAGATTGACTTTATGGAAGTATTTCAGGTTTCATAATTTCCATTGAGAGTACTAGCATGCAACTCTTGTTCACTAGTCTGCAGGAAAATAACAGAAGAAAATAAAGTTTTATTTTCCTAACTTTAATCAGAAAATCCAAAAGCCTGTTTGCAGTTCTGTGATTCTGATGATGTGCCAGTGCCAGATGGAGAGGAGGAAAAGGAGAGCTAAATGGATGAGATGGGAAAAAAGTTTACACTTTGCTAGTTTAGTTTAGACAACACTGCAGTAGAAATACTGTATAAAAAACATGTTAACTTGGTGATGTCAATCTAACACAGCTAACATTTAACCAACATTTAATTTCAACAACCATCTAATGTGAGCGTTGTTCCCTTCAAACAGGAAGGAACTGATGTGTGGAACAGTCTGCTATGGGCTGGTTACACAAAACAAAATGCTGCACAGTCTATACGATCCTCAGAAATGTAGTGAGCTTCGAGGAACCAAAAGAGGCGTAAAGTGCAACACATTCAATGTGTGATGGACGTCAAATGATTAAGTCAGTTTAGCAATTCTCTTTGTAAGGAACTGATATTTTAAACTAAATATAAAGTTTTATTATGAATATTCGCTTGGTTATGTGATTCCAAGTGTTACAATTACAATGTAACTGCAACATTTGATATGTTACAGTTGTACCTAATGTTACAATTGTGTAAAATCAGATCCAAACGTTTTAAACTTCAGAGTCGACACCTCCAGCAAGCATTGTTTCTCACTAGCCGAGAGTCAGAACAAGGAGCTGTGTTTTTAACCAGGCAGATCTGATTACAGAAACTCCTGAAACACATTCATATACTGAGTAAATCTGCAGTGAAGGTGCCCACAAAGGATGCAGAACGTTTTATCAGTCTGAGTGTAGAATCTCACTGGTGTTGGAGATTTGTTGAGAATTCAGAATTGCAAGAAAACAGTTGAAGTTTAGTAAAAGTTACAAAGTAAAGTTAAAATTCAGACAGAATTTTGAGTGTTTGCCACCACTGAGCTGTGCAGTCATGTTTTGAGTGGCCAGTTGTTAAAAATCACAGCCTTAGTTTTTGTGCACAGCCAGCAAAACTTTCTAGATTACTCAGTTTCTCCATCTGCACCCATTTGGTGTCTGACTGTGCTTTGTACCCACCTTGGCAGCCTCCATTTTTTATTTACTCTATCGGAGCACACATTTGAAATGACGATAAGACAGATTGGGACTAGTTTTTAGTAATTATCTTGGTGTGGTTTTTAGACCTGGACATGTGGTGCTGAAGCCTCAGATTTTGATCATCACAGGAGAGCTTCTGTGCAGGTGCCAAAATATGTTTCTAGTGCTCAAGAATTTCTGAAAGCTATATTGAGAAAATTTCAAAACACCAGTCACCACTCTAATTTGAGAGTCTTTGTTGTGTTTATGTGTGTCTGTGTATTGTGTGTGTGAGGTTCAGAAAACAGAGCTCCTCCACAAACAAACATTTTGAAGACCCTCTTGCAAATGCTAGTTACAAACCAGCATCAACAGTTGGAAGTTCAGTGAGATGCTGCCCACACACATTTCTGTTGTTCATCAGCTCCAACACAATTTAACAATACATGACGGTTAACAGAGATTTTTGTGGCATTTGTAGGGCCAAATAGCAGCAGCAGCAAGTTGTAGCACCTTTATTTCAGGCTGAGGTCAAATCTGGCAAAATATTTCTGCCACAATAACAGAAGGTGAAGTAAAAGTTTAAATAATAGCATTAGTATGAACCATTATAAAATATAAAAATGGAAGTTGGTCTGCTCGGACAACTCGCACATCTCAGACTAGCAATTAGCATTTACTTTTTTCTTCAAACTGAGGCTGTTCAGAGCCATTTACAACTCACAAAACTTTGTAATTACTCATTACTTTTCATGGAACCCTACTTCAAAATGGGTGGAATATCTCTTTAAATCTGTGGTGTCCTTCAGGCAAGGTTTGTTGCACCACTGCTGTTTCTTTCCTTGTAAACCTTATGTCTACCTTACAACCAAACTACAACGAGGCTTTGTTTTATTTAAACAAGCTGATGAAGCATAAATTCCTTGAATATTAATGATATTTTCAGTGTTGCTTTTTAAATCTCCCTGATTGAAGTAGTGTCCATATAGTTCAGAAATCAAAAAGACAATAAAAAAACACTTGTGTTCTAAAACAATAAAATAAAAAATCAAAACTGAGAAAACATACAAATGATGAGCAAACTGTTGTACCAAAACCGATGCCAGTTTTCAATTTAATCTCAGTCCGCTCTAGCGTGCAGATGGGTCTGTGAGTGCGCAGCCAAAAGCAGTGTGTCACTTTGAACATGATACTCACAAACGATTTGTTCATGGCTCGTTTGACCTCGTCTGTGCCGTCCGAGTAGATTTGCTGGAAGAGCTTGTTGAGCGCAGCGTCTCCCTCCAGCTTCTCATTCTTCTCCTCCTCATTTATGTCCGACACCATCTCGTCCCATTTGCGGGTGTAGTGGGATGATGAGGGGTACTGATCTGGTGGGGAATTAGAGAGCATCTCAGGAGACTCTTTAAGACCAAATAAGACTTAAAAAGCTGAAACGCTTCCTAAGCCTCCATGGACTTCTCATGACTATATAAAAGGGAGAGAGTCATACAGCTAAAATAGTTCAGATTTTTTTTAATTAAAATTTAACTGAATAAATGAACTTTTAGTATCTGCACTCAAAATAAAATCACCCTCAATCAATTCTAGGGTTATCAAGGCATATTAAAATGATCTGGTCTTTATCAGCTTCTAAAATTGTTCAAATCTAACCTCAAGTGAACAAAAACACAAAATATTCCACTAAGTCATAATTGATATTGAGTAACTGAGTAAAAAAAGCTGTGTGTAACACAATGCTAAAGACGAAATACATCACAAATGACATTAGAGAAGCTACTGCAGCTACCTATTAATCTGGATAGGGTTTAGAGTCGTTTACAAACAAGTTGGACTTCATCATTATACAAAGAGAAAGATTATTATACATTTAAGACAGCTGCCACTTTTCATGGTAATAAACGTTCCAGCAAATTCACCCCAATGTCAGACTGTGCAATCTCAGTCTCAACTGGCCTCAGTTATCAGGTTAAAATGTCAAGTTCAATGCAGGACAATTATATAAAACAATGAATAAGTGTGGCTTATTTTGGAAGGCATGTAGGAGAAAAACTCCTCCTAACAACACATCAGCACAACTTCAGTTACAAAGTTGCATCTCGATGAACCACGAGACATCTCGAACAATGTTCTTTGGACAAACATGATCAAAATAAGAGATGTTTACGCAGAATGAACAAAGAAATTTGCCTAAAATAAAAAATAATATCAGCACAAAGTTCTCATAGTGACAGTCATGTGAAGGATTGATGGTTTGGGCTTGTTTAGCAGAAACAGGACCTGAGCATCTTCATGTCATTAGCCGGGTTTCTATCTAATCTTAATTCAAAATTAGAGTGAGGTTTTTAAATTTTGCAAAAAAGAAAAAAAAACAAAGAAATGCAAATCAGATGTGTTTCCATCAATTGGCTTGAAGTGAATCAATTACGTCAGACTCGTGTGTAGTAAACAGGAAGTAAAAGTCGCAAACTTGCAGGGTCCACACATCTCAGGATGATGGAGAGAAGTTATCAGGAACGTGTTGCTACTATCAGGAAAGTTGTAATTATTCTGTCATATCAACTAGTTCTGGTGATGTTACTGCTGTCTGGAGACATAGAGAAATGTAATTTTTTTCACGTTACAGGAATAACTGACAGCGGGAGGAGGGTCCAGCTGCAGTCGCTCTGGTACCGGTACCGTCCAGACAGCGAGAACAGCTGATCAACCATGTGAGGTAAAGGTTTGTTACATCAGAACTTATTTGACAAATTTGTTTCCTTCTCTCCTTTTTCGAAAACCCCAAAAACCACCTCCAGCGAGCGTATCAACTTTTATGCAAATTAGAGGAAGTTTTTTCTAATCATGCCGTTTCTGTTCACCTTTTCTGATGAGATACTTCAAAATGCGCATTAAAAAACATTGATGGAAACACGGCTAGTGAGTTGACCATAAACTCATCTATAAGCCAATGGACTCTAGGGTCAAAGGTGAGACCATCTGTCTGATAGATGAAGCTTGGACCAAACTGGGTCACGTTTCAACAGGACAATGGTCCAGTTAGAAAATGTTCAAAAAACTAATCCCTAAATTATGTGCAGGAAACCTTTTCAGCTCTCAGTTGGATGTTTATTTTTCAGATCTAAAGACTCGATACTGCCCACAACCTGTGTGTTCCTAGTCACACTGCTGGGGGTGGTACCGCTTAAATCAGAACCGGTACATCTTAAGGTAAACAAGGTTTGGTTTATCCTACAGAGAGAGACACACATGGTGATTCTCTTCCTGTTTAAAATGTAACTAATGGACACCTGTTAAAGCATAACCCCGCTCCCAGGCAAATTTGAAAAAATGCCAACAATGTGGATGGTGCCAAGAGACACTAAGGGTCACAGCCAAATGTGGGGATGAGCGAGGAGGTTTGGTCAGGACAAGACAATGTGGCATCTAGCTTAATTTGACAAGCTAGCATTTCTGAAAACAGATCTAAAATCCGCTGAAAACAGCCTTTATTTAAGCTTCATAAATCAAATAAAGAATTCATAAATCACAAACTTGGTTTGTGATTTGCTATGATAATCCAGTTTGATGTGTCTAAGTATTTTAGTTTTTAAACTACAGCAGGTTAAAGATGCTCAAGGTAGTTAAAAATGAAGTGGAATCGTCCTTTATCCAGTTCTTGAATCAGAAGCTTCAGCTTTGTGTGGCCATCACCTCACAGGCAGGAATAAACATCAACAAACTGATTTATTACTGAGGGAATATTGAAGATGGCGCAGAACAGAAACTTTGTTAGTTTAAAAGAATACTGAACCACAAAGATGATTGCTAAAGTATGTTAATATAGTTTGTTTTTTGATTTGAGGCAGAAGTTATGTGATGTGAGGGGAACCAGCCAGCTTCTCCACTGAAACAGAGTAACCACATTGACGCAGGTAGTTTAGTTTTTCACAGGTTAAGTGGGTCTGAGTCTTATCGCTGGTTCAAGGAACTAACTCAGTGATGTATGAAGCTGATGCTGCCAGGACAATATGTGTTAAAGTGATGTTAGCAGCGTCTTTGCTAACGTGGCTAACAAACTGTCATTAAAGTGATCTCTATTCCAAACTGACTTGCTGCTGGGGCGTGTCTGAGTGAGGCTTTTCTACCTGAACCAGGAGCTGTGACGTTAGCATGTAACGAGTAACGTAAGCATCTACGAAAACTCAACTGCAATAACCACTGTTCAATCAATGGAGGGCAGAATAGAACTAAGACGGTTTTAGAATATATTGCAGAATTAAAGAAATTTACACAAAAATGTCAAAGTTAGCACAAAATGATAAAGATACAATTTATAAAGTTTATCTGCAAAAAAAGGTTTTGATTTAGATTTAGTTACTCTTTACTCAAAAAATACAAAATATAAGACTGTATCTAAAATTCAATCAGTCACAAAATTTCCTTCGGTCCTAATCACAGCAGCTAATCTACAACAGAGCTGAAAAAAGTCAAGTTGCACATCTGCTCAAGACCAGATCTCCTTTAGTATGTCCTAATACGTAAAACCCTAGAACTGAATGTGGGTGGAGTTTTTCCCTCATGCTGCAATTCTGGGGAAAAAAAAAAAAAAAAGAAACTTGACTGGCAACTTTGAATTATTCTCCTTCCCTCTGCTACTGATTCTTCAAACTGGCGTATCAAACAATGACATTCTGATTTGATTTCTGTATTCTCTGAATGTAACACAGCCACTATAAACCCAAACGAGAGATGGAGCGGCAGAGCGGGAAATGTAATCCAGACATAGATTTACATAAATACAGCAGCAGATGAACTGCAGACAGATTCAGGCCAAATATGGACGTTCTGAAAAAATGGTGCCATAAAAACCACGTCAAAAATCGTGTTTAAATAAAACAGGAGTTTATAAGCGGGGCACTAATGAACAGGCCAGAGGTCAAGCTGGGATAAAAAAAAAAAGTTTGGCTGCCCACTTAACTTTTACTTTCTCTTTTTCTCTTCAACATAAAATTACATAAGCAATTAATCCCGTTTGTAAGAGGAATGTGTGGGCTAAAACACTGAACTGCATTCTGCCGTCATACCTTTCTGTCTCCTTGCCTACTCTCACCGCCACACTAATGAAAGACTCTAGCAGGGCCCGACTGCCCACTCTCATTTTAGAAAGAACAGACGAACAGGAGCTTATATTGATCTTTGCAGAAAGAAAGAAACAAGAAGTCATTGAGGGGGGAGGTGAGAGACAGAGTGACGGGAGAATAGCTGAAGGTAGGAGAACAGAGAAACAGAGTGTAAATGGCCGAAGCTGAGGACTGACGGGGATTGAAGTGTTTGATGTTGGACTCCTGTCCTTCTCCCTCCAGCGTCTCCCATCTAATGGCATCTGTCTTCTTCATCTTGATTTCCACCTGACAGAAGACAAGAGCAGAGCAGAAGTAGAGAGATAAACAGATAATATTTAACAAAATGGTGGTCTTTAGAGCGCCGGGACAAAAATAACGCTTCCATGAGAGTGACGTGTTAAAAGCGTCCAGCATCAGATCATTACTGAGCCCAGGAAGGCTGACTTGTTCAGAGCTATGGACAACTTAGCCTACGAATGTGTGTGTGTGCGTGTGTGTGTGTGTAAGACATCAGGGATATGCGGGGGCACAGCTCAATCTCAAACCTCACTGACAGACATACCGCACTAACGAGATGCCTGTCAGCCAGAGGGCCAGTGTGAGAGACGGAGGGGGGAGGGGGGGTCTGATCCTAATTCCACACAGCAGCATCTGATCCGAATCATTACGCCGGGAGAACATGAGGAAGGAGGAAAACAATGAGGGGAGAGAGAGAGAGAGAGAGAGGACGTGGACACATGCTTTTAACACTGAGCTGCACCGACAGGGACACACAGCAGTGAGGCGCGAACAGCAGAGCAGTGCCCCCCCACCCCCACCCACAAACACACACACCCTCCCTCAGCACCTATTAATGGTGTGTGTGTGTTTGATATGTGTGCATGCGAAAGACAGATCTGGTGATGTCGATGCAATTAAGGAACATTTCTGCTCTGCTGGGCGACGTGATGATTCATTTATGAGGGTAGCAGGAGAGGGGAGAGGTAGACGAGGTGAGGGATGGCGGTGTGTGTGTGTGTGTGTGTGTGTGTGTGTGTTGGGGTGTGGGGGGCAGATTGAGGGAAACCAGACGGAGGATCGCTTTTAGAGCTGATGAGCTGGTGCGTGTAGCAGTACACTGATAGACCACTTTGGTTCGTGTCATCACTTTCTGATCTAAAAGCTAAAAACAGAAGCTCTTTGCAAAGAACTCAGCTCAAATAAAAAAAAACATTAACAGAAACTACATGAAACTTTTTATCTGAAGTGAAAAATAACCTTGTTTAATCACTATGTGCTTTTTGAATGAATCAAACAAAATGCTCCACTGGAGCCTCAACATACTTTAAATAAATACATGATTAGTGCTTCACTGTATTATTATGCCATTTTAATTTAGATCCTTAAGCTTTTCACAGTCTGTATCCTGGTTTCCCAGGTAACACTCGAGGGTTTAAATACTGTTTGAAAAGAACATCTCATAAGATTTGAGCACAATGAAAAATATTGACCACAACTGACAAAGACAAAGCCGTGAAACGGCTCAGACATGAGTATTTTTAACAATAAAAATCAATCAAGAAAGATCTATGATGTTAGAATAATGAATGTCTGCAAGGCTGACCCAGTGAATTCAATCACAACAGTGAACAAGAAGTTTCCACTGGGTGCAATACAGACAGTCAGAATACACCAAGAACATGAAAAAAATGTTCGATTTCAAAGATAGACAGGAATCCATGGACTGTAGAACAGCCTACATTTAAAAAACAGAGCAGCTTAGACCATTAACCATTTTAAATCACTGCCTAAATCTTATTTCTTGTTACTGACTTTTAGTCCAAGATGAGACATTAGAGACATGATATATTTCAGCTTTGATAAAGCAAGATGAATTTTTTAATTGGTTTTATATTATGGTTTTATTTGAGCACATTTTATTGTTATAATGAAATCTATTTATATTGCCATTTTCCTAATTATCAATTGCCACTATGTGCAGCATTTTGGTAAGTAATTGTCCATCCATCCATCCATCCATCCATCCATCCATCCATCCATCCATCCATCCACTTCCACTTCACCGGGGTCCGGTCACAGGAGCAGCAGTTTTAGCCTTTAAGAACTAGAGAGCCACTCTGGGCTTTAAAAACTATGCTTAATGTAAGTACATGTCTCGTGATTTTTTTTTATTCTTATTCAAAACTGATTAAATTTAAGGAAGGGAATAAAAAGAAACAAAAACAAAACAAAGACCAAGTCAATCAAGTGTTACCACCTTACCAGCAACTGTTGCAGGTACTATTTACTATCTGGAATATAGTTGTAGCTCTAAGTGTGACAGAAGTCAAACCCCAGCTCCACGTGTGTCAGAGTGTGTGTGATTCTATGTGCGCTGATGGGCCATGCAACATTAATCTGCTGCTACGTCTGTGTTTCCTGGCTTTCAAAGACATGGCAGCCCAGGCACCGTGTGTGTGTTTCTCTGTGCAAGACTGTGTGTGTATGACAGGAGAAGCCAAGGCCTGTAAAGGGATGTGACAAGAGAGCAACAATCAAGGGCCACCACTCACAGGACCTCAGGGGCTGGACTTTACAACACACACACACAAAGTTGTATTTCTATCCTTATCAGGACCATTCATTGACTTCCATTAATTAGTTGTTTCTATAGCCTAAACCTGACCTCTTATCGTAAACCCTAAACCTAACCAAAACTCAATTCACACCTTGGTCCTAAACCTAACCCCCAGTGGTGAGCACTAGTCCCCTAAAGCGCAAATATGCTAATTGCGGACCTAAATTTCTCCTTTGCACTTTAGGGGTTTTACTAATTTCTTAAAATGATGTGCGGATTTGTGCTTTCTAAATTTAGAATTAAATAGCGCTAATCGCAAATAATGTTTCACATTCAAATGTCAATTTCATCTAAAGTAAAGGGAAAGACGAATCTAGTCTCACTACGTTTTGTAGCCACATAATTCATTAAAACTTTGTCATGATTTTCTTAAACAGAGGGGAAAATCGTCTCTACTTAACACAATGGAGCTCCGCTGTAAGGAAACAGCGACCCCCTCAGGTAGCATTGTGTTCACAGAGTTTTAAACTCTGACTTCTGACTCTTCTCGGTTCATTTAGTAGAGTTCCTACAATTCTTTGCGTGGCAGGAAGCAACTGTGCGACAAACCACCTGTGGTTCTGATTTGCAGAACCACACTCAGCTGTGCAGTTTATATCTCCTCTCCAAGGGACACCGCAACAAATATCAAATTAATAAATAACAGTAAACAATGAAACACCGAACAGTTTAAATTCACGCTCTTATTTTGAAAAGAACGGAGTTCGTGTTCTGTGTCCTGTAGCCAACCCAGAATGCATTGTTTTACAGTTTTACAACAAAAAGTTTAAAATTACTAATATATCTGCATGTTTTCTTACTGAAGCCCTGCCATAAATATAAGAAAATGACCAAGAAGTAGCATAACTAGCAATCCACAACAATTTTTGTTTTACCACCATGATGTGGTGGCTTTTAACATAGCTTGAGATCTTGGTCTTTTTTTTTGTTTGTTTGTTTTTTGCTTGTTTTTAATGTTTGTGTTTTTAGTGTTGATTTGTTTTATTGTTTTCAGACCCACTTTGTGTCAGCGGCCGCTGTTTTAAAGTGCTTTATAAATAAATTTGATTTGATGTAAAAGTCTGTTTCTATGAATCAGATCCCCATTCTGCGACGACGTGCTAATCTGTTAAAGAAAATATTCTTACCACTAGATGGTAGTTAAGTGCTGACTTTTTTCTTACCTGAATGTTTTCTGGTAAACGGAGATTATCTTGCACTTTAGAATTAGCTTTCGCTAAGTTTTATTGATCTTATGTGCTTTTGAACTTGCAGACTTAAATAAATTGACTAGCGCTTTAGAAATTGCACAACTAAAATTTGAATTAGCGCCGCCCACCATTGGTAACCCCCAACCCCAAAGTGGAGTACCACTAGGGCTGCACAATATTAGGAAAACCTGTGATGTGCAATAACAGTGCTATATTATATAATATTATTATATTATATATATAGGGATGGGTACCGAATTCGATACTTATTGATGTAAAGACAGAATTCTGTCAGTACTACAGAGTATCTATTCACGTAACATCAAACGGTACCATGTTTCGGTATTTAAACGCATCATTACGACCGGTTTGCGTAAGAGTGATGAGTTTTCCATTCTTGTCATGAACGCAGCATCACGCAAGAGCGTAATGACGTCAGCAGCCGCTGGTAAACAGAGGCAGAGCTCGGTCTGAACGTAGCTTGAAAGCCTCGCAGTTCCTGGAGTAAAACTCGCCGAACAAACCGCCTCTGAATTATCTGGTGGATTAATTATCTTGTGAGCACAATGTTCGCTTGCTCAAAGTAAATAAAGTACCACCACTTTCTTTATTTTATCCGCCATTAAACAGAGACAGGCAGAGGAAAACAGAGGCATTTCCCGACAGTCCGAACACGTCTGACCTGAAAGAGCACAAGCAGCTAACTTGAAGCGTTGGGCATGTTTTGGATGCTCAAAACGTAGCTTGAACACCTTTTATTTATTTTAACTCCATCCTGTTTTTGCTTATTTGATTTAAATTAAACTTATTTGCCTTCCATGAACCTCCATCACAATTTTTCTAGCGGGTAAATGACATCAATAGAAACATGTGGAGCTGGATTTTAATTTGTGCAATAAGACAAAACAGTCTTGTTGTTTTCAAAAGTTTGCACTTTAAAGAAATAAGTTACACAACTGATGTTACAATACAAAGAGTTGGATGTTGACTTGGTATTTGTTAATTTTATATATTGAGAAATATGTTAAGAAATAAAAGTTTATTATTGAAAAAAAAAAAAAACACACAAAGTACCGAAAATTGGTACCGTTAAGTATCGGTACCGAATCCCAGGTACTGGATATTGGTACCGAATCGATTCAAACTTCAAAAAGGTACCCATCCCTAATTATATATTATATTATATTGCAATGACAATATGACTTGCGATAAATGAACAAATACTTAAGTTTGTAGTGTTGATGTCTGTCTGCCTTGGATTCAGAGCAATAACAACAACAACAACAAAAAACCCTAATCATTTCCATTTCAGCGTGATTATTTTTAAAAACATGAAGAGATCCATCCAATTGGTCAAATATATAAAGGGCCCCATTTGATTAGTGAAATACTTCAAGCTTCCATCTGAGTGACAAAACCCATAAATGCAAACTATTGAGTCAATCATTTATTGCAGTTTATTAATTTTTTTACGATAT